TTCAGTTTCTGAGGTAAAATCGCCTAAAACATCTCTGTCAGATGGTCATTCAGCCTGTTTGAAAACCACCAGCAACAGGGAATCTCTTTTATTTTAGGCAGACTGTTCTACTGTTTATCTATTTGACCCACTGTCTAACCCAGTGTTTCTCAACCTTGGCAGCTTGAAGATGTGTGGACTTCAACTCCCAGAATTCCCCAGCCAGCAAGCTGCCAAGGTTGAGAAACACTGGGTTAGACAGTGGGTCAAATAGATAAACAGTAGAACAGTCTGCCTAAAATAAAAGAGATTCCCTGTTGCTGGTGGTTTTCAAACAGGCTGAATGACCATCTGACAGAGATGTTTTAGGCGATTTTACCTCAGAAACTGAAAGTAAGACATGAAAATAAAATAAAATGAGCTATGGGGAGAAAAGAGATTATGTTATATTTAGAGATGGTGATAGGCTATTAAAATTATCTTTACTTGCTGGGATAAAGGGGGAAGTTACTTCTTTTTTCTCTTTTCTTTTTCTTTTCCACACCCCTCCCTTTTTTTTTATTTTTCTGTTTGTATTTTTTGTATTTTGTATTGGCTTTTATTCTTTTCATTTATAATTCTTAATAAAATTATTTGGAAAAAAAATGTCAAGCAAAAATAGGTTCATTAAGATTTTAATAGCCTTAAGGCACTTATCTTTACATGTAGTCTTTGACCTACGACCATTTGGTCAGCGACCATTCCAAGTTATGATAGCGCTGAATGAATGGTGGTTATGACTGATCCTCGGAGTTCCGGCCATCCCAGCACCCCCGCGGTCACGTGATTGCAATCTGGGTGTTGGCAATCTGTTTGCACCTACAACCGGTTGGCAAGCACCCTGTGATCATGTGATCACCATTTGCAACCTTCACTGTCAGCTTCCCCAGAAAGTCAATGGGGAAGCCGGCAGAGAAGGTTGCAAGTCGCTGGGGTAAGCTTTTCCCACCCGCACACCCTTCCCCCAGCTCCTCTGTGCTTGCACCATGCTGGCCACTCGTGCATGCACCCTCCCAACTGACGCCTCTCACATACCCTTGCTAACCTGCATGGCGCCTCTTGTGCATCCCCTAACACTCTCCCTGCACCTTTTGTGCACCCTCCTTGACCCTTTCCCACACCCCTGCACACACTCCGCTCCCTCCCCAACCCGGCAGCAGCCACTTACCAGCCTGTAGGCCTGGGACTTGCAACTTCCTGCCAGTTTCCCCACTGACTTTGGTTGTGGGAAGCCAACAGGAAGTTGCCTCGCCTAACAACTGTGGGATTCGGTTAACGAGGGCAAGAGAGACTGCAGGGATTGCCGCCGCTAAGTGATGCTATCGTGCTTTATGACCACATCACTTAGTGATGGAAATTCTGGTCCCAAATGCCATTGTAAGTTGAGGACCACCTGTATTAAATTACTCCCTGATAAAAAGGGCCAAACATTCCAACACAGCCCCTTTTGACAATGACATTGTATCACTGCAATAGCCATAAAAGAAGTTTGCCTTCCACAACAAGCAACTACTCACTCTCCCTTCAAGCGGCCATTTTCATAGGCTGCTCTCCACATGTGACCCTGGAGTTGTTTTAAAGCTGTAGTCTTCCTATCCGAAGACATCTGCCAGAGGACATTGTCTACCACTGCCTGGATAACCCGTTCAACTTCCTCTTCCCCGTCCCTGGTTTCCAGTGGAATAAGCACCACTCCATCCATATGAGAGTCTTCTTCAGCCTAAGGAAGGCAAAACAGAAAAGAAAGCAAGGTGATAACAATGATGGTAGGAATTCCAAATGATGCTTCAAGCTGGGATGAGATGGACTAGTCTTCCAAGATAGTTCCTACCATGCTAGCTTGCTTCTGCTTAGGTTGGCACACTTCTGAGCACAGCACTATGCTGCAAATACCCACCATTTTTATTTCCTAAGAATGTCAATGGCTACTTTCACCAATCGGGATACACTCCAGATGTGTGGACTTCAATTCCTGGAATTTTCAGCACAAGCTATGCTGGCTGAGGAATTCTGGGAGCTGAAGCTCACACATCTGCATAGGCCTGAGGTTGGGAAGCACTGGCCTACGCGGGTTCCAGAAGCATTCCAGCAAATCACAATAAGACTTAAGACTGGTGTCTTGCTTTACTTCATGCCATCTTGCCATGCAATTATTTTTAAGTGAAAAAAAAAAGAAAATTAGATGGGGCAAGGAGGTTAGCAGATGTCAAGGGATGTGTCAGTCTGTCATCTGTGCCGACTTGAACTCCGTAAAAAAATGGAAATGGCAATGATGATTAAAAATCTGCACTGAAAATGAGCTCTGAAGATACAGTATATAAGTGTGGATACTCTACTATCAATGTCATCATAATCCTTGTTTTTTTAACATTGTTGTTTGTATTTGTCCTCTATGCAATTTCTGTGCAGGTTCCTGTGCAATTTCTGCATAGGTTTAAAACAAAAGGAAAAAAAATACATTTCCTACTAGACTTGCATGACTTCACATACACAACCCATGGTCCAGCCTCACAAACAGCAACTTCCCTGCTCCTCTGGCAAATAAAAGTTGTCTCCAGGGGATCAGGTGGTGAAAGGTTACAATCTTGGGGAAAAAAATCTTTTCTTCCATGCCTCATTAATATAGGTATTTGTGAGCAATTTGGCTAGTCAGAATTCATGAGGGTTGGGAGCTAGCTAGGAAGTTGGAAGGAAAGAGAAGAAGAGGGTGACCAATAGCAAGGTGGATGGGCTCAATTATAGCAGTGATGGGTGCACTGTTTGAAGACCTGAAGGACCAGGTTGAAGACGGATCCTCATGGAGAAGATCTGTCTAGGTTGTTGCTAAGAGTCATACCAACCTGATGACTCAATCAATCAATCAATCAATCAATCAGTAAACTTATATGGATTATTTGTAAGACTAGTATAGGCCCAGGTCTAATAATTCTGCCAACATCCAGGCTGGCATGAAAAGAGCCAGAGTTGTTTTAAATGTTTTAAATTAAATAAATAAATTATGAGGAAGAGATGTCCAATGCTCTACCTGTTTTCTCAGCAGGCCAACATCTTGTTGGCATTCTTCTTCTTCCCAGTGGGTGTCTAGGTAATCTCGAATATTTTCCCTAATGTAGGGAAACAAAATATCCTGGGGACACAAAAAAAGCATATCAGTGGTTTAAGCTACTATGGGCATATATCTGGAAACAACACAGACCTTCAGGGCATCTTCAAAAGTATTGATTATCTGATACTATTAATTTAGTCACTTCACCAAATCTATGCGACCTAGCTCTCAGAAGAGAAATGTAAACATACATAGCTATAAGGTGAGGGGAGAGAACGAAAAAAGGGAAAAAAGTAAGAATACTTAGTAACAACAAAGATGAAAAAAAGGTAATCATTTTCGAGAATAAGCATACATCAATAAATGCAGATTTATTATTTTTTTTGGTAGAGGGGCCAGACTTCCAAAAACAAATGAAGAATGCTTGGGCACCTTAAGCTCTTCTTAAAATATTCTTGTGTACATGGACTGAGTACATGATAATACATGGGTGAGTTTTCAAGGCTCCTGGTTGGTTTTGCTGCAAAAGCCACAGAAATCTTAATAATTCAAACAGGCACAATGGGAAAGCAGTAATTTTGACATATGCCAGTGACGTGGGATAGATTTTTTTTTAATTTTTTCCCATGGCTATATTTTTCTCTGTTCCAGTAGACTGTGTGCCTTTCAATTAGGAGCATAATTAAATGCTGAACAAGCAACTATGACTGTTATTCTTAAGCATCAAAAAGAGTAGTTTGAGGAACATCTATATCAAATAGAATCAAATTAAACTAAGATTGATCACGTCTGACACATCTTCATGTCCAGGTCTGGACTTGCTAAGTGACCATGATGTGACCTTCATGTTAAATTAGTAATGTATGTTAAGGTTAGCTGCTCATGCTTGAAAAACAAGTCATGGGGAAAATTCATTCCATAAAAAAAGAGAGACCTTCTTCAAGTTATTAAGGTCACTTGAAACAAAGCCCAATTTGGTGCAACAAAAAGTGAGAGCCTCCATCTCTGATTGCCAAATTGTGCTGAAGACCTATTTGCACATTGCACTGCAGCAAACTCAGATTTGCCACTGAAAGCACACTTAACAGAATATGAGACAATCCTTGATCTTAAAATCAAGGGGGGGGGGGTATATGATTTGTGTTTTTAAGACAAAGTTTATCCTTTGGGGACAGGAACATGATTTACCCTCTACAGTTCGCTGCTTTTGAGCAAATGCTACACCAATATGCATTTTCATCCAGAAACACTAGATGCTTCTTGTGTTGCAGTGAAAAGGACCCCAAATGATCAAAGGACTGGAATAGTCCTGGAAGGAAAGATGATAAAAGCACAGATCTCTTTAATTGAGGGGAAAAAAGTGAGTTAGGAACAACTACGTTCAGGGTTTCCTGGGCTTCCAGCTTCTGCTGTGGCAGCTCTGGCCAGGAAGGCCTTTGCACAGCTTCATCTGGTGCGTCAGTTGCACTCTTTCCTTGATTGGGAGTCCTTTCAGACAGTCCCTTGGGCCCAGGCAACCTCATGGCTTGACTACCGCAACCCACTTTACACGAGGCTGCCCATGAAGACCACCCGGAAGCTTCAACAGGTCCAGAATGCAGCAGCGTGGGCAGTAATGGGCATGCCTCAATATGCCCATGTAATATGCCCTCTGCTTTGTGAGCTGCACTGGTTGCCAGCTTGCTTCCAGGTGTAATTCAAGGTGCTGGCTGTTACCTATGAAGCCCTACATGGCCTAGGTCCTGGTTACTTGAAGGGCCGCCTGTCTCCCATAGTATCTACCTGGCCAATTTGACCTGGCAGCATGCTTGGGGGTCCTCCAATTAAACAATGCCATCTATTGGGACCCTGGAAGCGTGCCTTCTCCATGGCAGTACATGCCCTCTGGAATGAGGTTCCTCCCCCCTGAGATTGCATAATCTGTATCAGTCATCTCATTGTGGCTTGCACCAGATGCCTGTAGTGTAAGCCCCCTTTCTATATTCCTGGTATGACCGCTTTGGTTTTGGAGGTGTGCTGAACTTGGATCTCCCCAACAGCTACAGCTCATAGGCTTTTTCCTATTATTCCACAGCATAGTTCAAAAGCCATCCTGTTGCACTTGAAAGTATATTTAAAGAGCAGCCTGTCCATTTAGGTTGTCGTCCATAATTATTCCTTAGTAGTGTTATTCATTGTAAATGGATGGGGTTCCTTCAAGGTGGATTGCAGTTTAAGATACTTTGTGGATCCTAGAAAGAAAATAACAGCAGAGCCCTCAGAATGTTATTGGAAGCAAGTCCCACTTTAATCAGAGATTACATCTAGCTAGCATTATTACATCTTTACGTCTTTCCATTGGGAATATGCCCACAGAGGACACTGCAATTTACTTCCAAATAAATATGCACTGGGCTGTATTGTTACATGAAAAGTCTATGTAGTTAACATGTTAGGCTGGTACTGGAGAGATCCAGGTTCAAATCCACCCTCAGGCACAGAAGTCACTCTCTCTCAGCCCAACCTATGTCACAGGTTTGGTGTTGCGGAGAAAAAAAATGAAAGACAGATATAAAACAAGATTTAATCGTTTTTCCACTGCAATGCAACAGTACTGGCTTAACATCTAAGACTGAATTGCACTAAGCCATCATTTAACAATGGTTTATTGAATGACTCAGAATTGGCTGGCTTCACACAACACACTGCACCAAATCCAATATCTGTCTGTCTGTCTGTCTGTCTGTCTATTGAACGTTATGGCCCCAGCCGGTATATTTCATAATTTGGGATAGATTACCAGCAGACATTCAACTGCATAGCAAATAGGAGGTTTAAAAAGTAATCTTTCTGTAACAACACAAATGAAAGAAAAGTTTTAAAAACCACATGGCTCACACTGGCAAAGCTACTTAATAATTCCTTCTTCCCTTAAGTTAAAGCCACAAAGCAGTTAAGTTTTTGCTTAGAAATGGTGGAAGATCAATTTCCTTCCAATGTCAGAATGGCTTTGCAGCAAACACACACTTGCCCCCAACCCAGCCTTTTTACAAAGAACAGAGACAAGCAATTAATAGTGTCTCCAATTAAAAAGTATATCTTAAACTGTCACTCTCATCCAAACCACAGGAAAAATACACACACATGCATGCGCGCACACACGGTTTATACCCTGCCTTTATTTTGTACCACTCAAGGCAGGGTTCCTAATGCTCCCTCTTTCCCCACAACAACGACCCTGCAAGGTGGGTTGGGCTGAGAGAGCGATGGACCCGAAGCAGCCCGGCCAGCCTCAGTGCCTAAGAGAGGGCTGGAACCCGCAGTCTCCCGGTTCTAGTCCAGCACCTCCATCGCTACAACCAACTGGCGCTAAGGATGGCTGCGCCGTCGACACGGTTGGGGGAAAGTCCTCACGTTCCCCGGAAAAAGGACGCCAGGCTGACGGCGGTCCGCGCCCCAAAGAACATACGGACACGCGTTCAGTTTAGGCAGGGCAAAAGGCGGCTCCTCGCGAAGGGAGCGCACCGATTCTTCAGACGCGCCCCGCAACACCGACCCGCCCGAGGGTCGCGACGCACACGGCTGCCCCCGGCCGCGGCTCACCTTGACAAACGTGATCGGCGTGGTCGTGCCTTCTATGTCGAGCAGGAACACGCTGACTTCCGCGGGGACCGTGAACCCCACCATGTCCCCCGCTGCAGGCGGCGGCGGCGGCGGC